GTCTGTATACCTTCAGTACAGACACAATCATTTCTCAAATGGTTGAAATCTGAGGTTGGACGCAATTATTCTTAGGTGTTTAAATTTAACTGAAAAGTAATCCCTGTTAAATATAAGAATGGGAATAAGAGAGGGAGGAGATTAAAATTTGGCACATGCTCAATCGGACTTGACCCAAACTGTAGAGTTAGATATGTGCCTGGGGACTCCAATTCAGTCCCATCAAGGTGGCAGGTACCAAGGCCATCTCACTAGTCAAAGTGATCAGTTTCAGTTCACAATTGATCACAATGATAGGATTAAGAGTCAAAGGGAGCCGGTGCCACGGCTCACTAGGCTAATCCTCCGCCTTGCGGCACTGGCACCGCGGGTTCTAGTCCCGGTCGGGGCGCTGGATTCTGTCCCGGTTGCCCCTCTTCCAGGCCAGCTCTCTGCTGTGGCCAGGGAGTGCAGTGGAGGATGGCCCAAGTGCTTGGGCCCTGCACGCCATGGGAGACCAGGATAAGTACCTGGCTCCTGCCATCGGATCAGCGGCCATTGGAGGGTGAACCAATGGCAAAAGAAGACCTTTCTCTCTGTCTCTCTCTCTCACTGTCCACTCTGCCTGTCAAAAAAAAAAAAAAAAGAGTCAAAGGTAACACATAAACAAGACTAGTGTCTGCTAATACTAACTGACAGAATTAAAAAGGAGAGAATGATCCAACATGGGAAGCAGGATATACAGCAGACCCATAGAATGGCAGATGTCCTAAACAGCACTCTGGCCTCAGAATTAGCCCTTAAGGCATTTTATCTGGCTAAAAAGCCCATGAGAGTATTTCAGGCATGGAAAGCCAAGACACTGTGGCAAAAAAAAAAAAAAACAAAAAAACAAAAACCAACAACAACAACAACACAACACCAAACCTAAATTAAAGATCTCTGTGAGTGAGATCCCAGCAGAAAGAATGGGCCATCAAAGAAGGAGGTACCTTTTTCTTAAGGGAGGAGAGAACTTCCACTTTGACTATGTCCTTGTCGAAATAATATCAGAGTTGGCAAACTCAAAAGACTTCCAGAGCCTAGGGTGATTAATGACACGATAAACAAGAGTGTCAATTGTTAAATCAACAATAGGAGCCACTGTGCACTTACTCCCCATGTAGGATCTCTGTCCTTAATGTGTTGTACTATGTGAATCAATAGTATAACTAGTACTCAAACAGTACTTTACACTTTGTGTTTCTGTGTGAGTGCAAACTGTTGAAATCTTTACTTAATATATACTAAATTGATCTTCTGTATATAAAGATAATTGAAAATGAATTTTGATGTGAATGGAAGGGGAGAGGGAGTGGGAGATGGGAGGGTTGTGAGTGGGAAGGAAGTTATGGGGGGAAAAAGGCACTGTAATCCACAAGCTGTACTTTGGAAATTCATATTTACTAAATAAAAGTAAAAAAAAAGAAATCTGAAGTTGGTTGCATTGACAGATCCAGAACCCACACACACAGAATATTGCCTGTATACATGTATTAAACTATCACACATACACACGCAAAAAACCCCACTAGTACTGAATGATTCCATGTTAATTTCAAATAAAATCAAACTGAAAAGAAAAGTATCACCTCCCCTGAGATTTTTCCTACTCACTGAACCACAAGCAGTTTCCTCTAGGTCACTTAATATTTTAACCTTTTAACATGTTTTCCTGGAGCCTGTGTTGTGGTTTAGCGGGTTAAGTTGCTGCCAGAGATGCTGGCATCCCATTTGGGCACTGGTTCAAGTCTCGGCTGCTCCACTCCAATCCAGCTCTCTACTATTGTGCCTGGGAAAGTAACAGAAGATGGCCCAAGTACTTGGGCCCCTGCCACCCAAACAGGAGATCTGGAAGGAGCTCCTGGCCCTTGTGATCATTTGGGGAGTGAATCAAGGAACAGAAGATCTCTCTGTGTCTCTCCCTCTCTTTTTCTGCAACTCTGCCTTTCAAATAAATAAATAAATCTTTAACATGGTTTCCTTAAGAACACTGAAATTTGCAGAGTGCTCATTTGTTTATGTATGTGTGTGTCTACTTCCCCACATTAGAAGGGGATTCCTGTGATAGCACAGCGCTTTTATGTTATATTGGCATCTCATCCATAGTACTTAGACTTAAAATTTGTAGCATACTCAATAACTACTCACTGAAAAATGTTCAACAGGCTATCTCTAAACCATAATGATTTCTTATTTCCTTCAGAATAAAAACCAAAAGCCTTAAAGCATCCCTGTCACTTGGCCTCATTATGGCCTCTTCTCCATTTCTTGTCCCCCTCTCCTCACTTTTAGTGTTGCAGGTGCACAGGCTTCTTTACTGTTCCTGGGGGGTACCAAGCAAACCTCTGCTTGCTATTCCTTCATTCTGTAATGTTCTTCCTCCTTGTGTTCACACAGCTCACTCCCTTTCTTGCTTTAGAACAAGACTGAGATACCATTTCAACAAGGCTTTCTAGGGGCACCTGACCACAAGTTTCTATACCCTCTGTTCCATTTCACCTACACTTTCTGCAGGCCTTCTCTACTTTCTACTCTCTCCATAGCACTTACTGCTATTGTTCCATAGCTTTAACTTGCACATCTTACCTACTTTTTCCCTCCCAAATAAAAGGCAAGCTCAATGGCAGCATGAATTTATCTATTTTGTTCATTTTTGTCCACTATAAAGCCTAGAATGGTGCTTGACACTCTTCATAAATATTTATTGAATAAATGAGCAAGAAAGTTAATATAGTATCTTATTTTTCTCCAGATACTGAGCAGTTGATTAGTTGAAAACATGGAACCTATTGAAGGCTTTTTTGGGGCCATTTGTTAAGTGGAATGTTATTACTGGTAATATAGACAAGTTCTAGTCATTTAAATAAATCTGGTGAGAAAAGGTTGGAAAACATATTTGGAGAACATGAATAACTGGCTGCCAAGGGTGTGAAACAAGTTAAGTAATGCTTTCATAATAGGAGACTTACACTAAGATTCATATTACACTTAGAGATACAGCTGTTTCTTACTATTATAGTATAAACTTAAGTCCCATAAATGCACACAAAATATGTCTTATATATATACATATATATATATATAAATGAATAAGGAATCACCACCCACTTTGGCATTCAGTGGCATCAGTCTTTAGAAAGTGACATACTCTCATGGCAAACACCTGGCTTGTACTGATCTTCACTGTCATTATTTTCCTGCATCTCAACATTACAACCAGTTGCTCAAGAGCTGAACTATTGACTAACCTGCCTTGATGAATCAACACAAGAAACTGGATTAATTGTGAGATGAGCTTTACGTGAATATTTTGTCTATGCTTCATGCTCCACTGGTTAGTGAGACCAGAAACCTAATCAAAGGTGTCTAAGGGTGAGAGTGAGCAAAGAGCAGATTTCTATTCTGAACCACCAGGGACTTCAGATATCGCCCACTTTTTCCAGAAGAGAGTTCAATGAATAAACAGCAATTCAGAACCCAGCAGGCAGTCTGCAATTCAGCTGGATACCAAAGAGCCCACTAGATCAGTTCTCTTCTAGTAGAGTTACTCTCCCAGGTCAAACATGCCTATTTCAGAAATGCCTCCCAGAAAGGATAGTTGTGGTTTGCTAACATTCGACAGATTCTCTTTATTCCTTCTTGGCAACCATGAGAACAGGCTCACCCAGTTTCATCTGCAATGTTTTGTTTTCCTTTTGAAAGCAATAATGATAACATTGGGAGTCCACAGTCAGTTCTTAAGAGGAAAAAACTCATTAATATCAAACTATTTGTCCCAATATCTGTCAAGACAATTTAAGATTATCCTTTTTTGGTCATCCATAAGAATCCCTTCTTGCCTTCAAGAATGGCTCATGCTGTCTGGGCAGACAATTATACTAGGAAACTATGAAAGATAAATACTGGGGGGAGGGGGTGTTTGAAGGGTATAAGTATGGCTCTCACTCTATAATTTGGACTTTATAATGGCCTAGAAAGTCAATAAACTTAAATATCTAACTTTATAAACATGCAGAAGTCCATCTTCTCCATCAATTTTTCAAAACTTGTAACCATAAAATTAATCTAAATCTATTTATACATATCTTGAGCTGAATGCCTCAATTTAAATATTAAGAACCATAAATACTTTTCTTTTAAACAAAACTAAAGCAAAATTCACTGCTATATTATATTAAATAATATTTTTCTTGCTGGTAAACTCTGTATCATGCATTTGGGCTTCATGTAGTGATGTGCCATTTAAACAACTGGAATGCTACTCCTTTAGTTTTAGATTAGGACATAAAGGCTGGTAAACATGCATGATGGCTTTAAGCAAACACGAGTTTTTCTTAGGAACCCAGTCTGCTCGCAGCTCACCTGCTACAGTAGTTTTCAGAGGCTTAATTAGGTAGCGCTCCACTGGGTGGGAATACCTTGGAAGCTAATTTATTGTGACCATTTGAACAAGCACACACACCTTCACAGCCTAGGCATTGCAACACTTGGAATCAGATAGTAGAACAAGAAATTGGAACAGGAGAATTGCTCTATGATTTCTGGTGGCTAAGGAAACGACCTGTCAGCTGCTTGCCTTGCCTCACCAAGTCACCTCTCCTGGAATGAAACTCTAAACACATCATCATCACTCTTATTCTTAGCATTATTGTGGTTGTGTTTGGAGAAGCAATGGACGCAAATTCGCATGGCTGTGCCCAGTTTTGCTTTGCTTTGCTTTGTGTCCTGGCCAGCTGTTGGGTAAGCAAACCCTAAAACAAAGAGGGCCAGCTCGAGTTTGCCAGCGGCAGCGCACACCGCCCCTGCCTCCTCCCGGGGCTTTCTGCAGGAAACCGCGCTCCACGCGCGCACGCCCGCCCGCCCACGAGCCCGGGCGCCCGAGGCACCGACCCAGGCCCGCCGGGCGCAGGCGGCGCTGGGGCCCCGGCGCGGGTGGCAGCACATTCCAGCGGCGGCGGCGGCCGCCCTCCCCGACTCACCAGCCTGCGAAGTTTCCGCGCCGAGAGGGCTGGGGGCAAATTGCAGAGCCCCGCGACTCCTTGCGCTTTGCCTGCAGCCAAGACCCAGGATCAGCTTCACAGGGCGACAGTCATGGGGTCAGCTCCTTCTTTTTCCAACCTGTGGCGCCCGATCGGCCCAACGCCGGTCGGTCCCCAGTCCCTTCGCGTTAGGACTGCAAGTGTCAGAGCTGGTAGCACCACCCCTCGGAGTCCGCCGAGGCGACTGGGCTCTGGGAGGTTTGTGTGAGAAGAAGGCGTGTCCCCGAGTCCTAACGCGGATGTGCCCAGCTCACCTCGGGCTAATCTGGCCAGTGACTCAGCCGCTGCAATAAGACACACAGTGTGGGATTTCTAACCCTAGCAGCGAGCTCGTTTTTATTCATTTGTTTCTCAATGTCTTCTTGGATATCTCTTATTCAAGGGGCCCCGGCCATGCTCTCCTTTCCTCGGAGCGGGTGTCTCGTCTATGCAGACAGCAAGAAGTTAAATTGCAAGTGGAGGGTAGAGAAGGGCCTCCAGGAAATAAAAGGGAGCTGGTAAGAAACTGGTGTTTTGAAAGTTAGGATGTGTTCACAAGAGCCCATTAATCACTATGCATCATCTTTAGCCTTGCTTCCTGAATTCACTTCAGAGATCAACAGGTTACCATTCAACAAAATAATGAGCACACACAAACACGTCCAAGGTGCCTAGTGGGTGGCAGCCCTGTTCTGTTTTGCCCACAAATCAAAGACCCTGGCTGCCCCTCTTGGGATCACATTGTGGGCATATTCCACCATCTCCAATTTATAGATGGATGGGAAATGTAAGAAAACAAGCTTGGATATAGAGCAGTTTAATAGCCATGGGAAGAAAACTTAGAAGTTCCAAACCTGTTGCTTGCATTTGCCTTGAAAAAGAATGAGATGACTGACTAAATGTCAGTGGTTTACCTCAGTTCGGACCTGATGCCCTAGCAGTGTAGCACGGGGGGATGGTGAGCTTACCAGCTAGCCAGCATCTCCCAGGGCATTTCTTGTGGAAGAGGCAAGGGAACACCCCAAACCAAGCCTCAATCATACACTCAAACAGCAGCAAAGTGAGAAAGAAGAGTCTTCGAGAAAAGATTGGCTCCTACAGAAATCTGTCTATTCTGTTGGACAATTATGGAGAAGTCCTGTTTTATGTACCTCCACTGTTCCTATCTTGAAAGTAGGCATCATACCAATGCCTTCCTGATGTTTCTGTGAGTAATGAGTTCATATCAGTAAAGAAGCACGCCTTTAAGTTCTACAGACTTATGGGCCGTCCCTAGTATTTTGGTGCCTCTCAATCTACTCCAGTCTGACAAAGTGCAGTCTAAATCGTAAAACTTGTTTTAGCTCTACTAGGTGAAAGTACAGAAGATTCAGGCTGTAGGTTTTCAAAATGTATATACTGGGAATCCATATTGATGACAGCTTGCAATCATCAGCCATATCTATGTGTATTACAAGTGTGTGTCCATGGGCCTTGGGAGGGATAGAAGAGAGCATAACTACCTTTTGACTTTATTCCACTGTTAACACACTGATTTAAAATAATTCTTTGTGCTATGCAACAATAATTATATTCCTGACCTAGTTAATGTATCTACTACTCAATTTAATCCAAAAATCTGTTGTTTCTGTGTCAGTAGTGTTTATAAAGCCCTTTCTCATAGATCATCGCATGTGACTTTCACAGTATTGCTTTGAAATAGGCAAGGAGTCTATTTTTAGTCTCCATTTAAAAAATGAGGAAACCTAGGTTGAAAATATCCCGATAACTCACCTGCTCTCATGAAGGCCAGGAAAGGTAAAACTTACTGATCCTGACGCTGTGCTCTTGGCAGTCACTGTATTGTGCTGCCTCCCTACTATTTCTGGAAAAATTCCTGCTATGAGAAAAGTCCAACACACACACACACACACACACACACACATTTATCATTTACTTTCCTTGTCCCTCTTCCCCAGGTAGGTGTGTCACCTATCTTCTAGGTTCTGCTTATGCAGAGACAGGTCTCATGGAGGCCTTACCACACACAGTCCTGTCTTTCAGGTTGCGAGGCTCAGAGCCAGGAATGCTGTGACACTACACAGGAGTGGTGGAACATGTCCCTCCCTGTGGGAAGAGGGGTTCCCGGGAAGGGAACAAGGTGGGAGCCTATGAGAAGATATGGCTTGGCTGCTTCGCAAAGGCTACCTTAACCCAGTGAGAGAGCACAAAAAGCATCCTGGAGAACCAGGGAAAACAAGGTGACAATATTATGTGTCATAATAATAGTGACGGCTTCCTGTGTCTGGAGTTTATGTGCACTAATTAAATAGATATGATTTCCAATTCAATCAACATAGCATTGAGGTAATAAACAGATATATAAATGGACACGTAGGACTTCCGGTTAAAAATAACACATGGACGATAAGTGTTCTTTTCCTTTCCCCAAAATCCTGTAGGACAACAATAAAGGAATTTTAAAAAATTAAATAAGCCATAAAGACAATTAAAAGGAGAGGAGACATCAATAGATGATGTTCGGAAGAGCATGCATCAGATGGAGGCTTGCTCGGCTCCTAATCTGCAAGAGCAGACTTTACACACTGTGTGACTTGCAGGAAGGGTTATGAACAAGAAGAAACTAATTCCCCCTTCAAAACCTGAGCAGAAATACCAGCATAGAAGGAGGCCAGGTGGTGGGGTAAACATAGGGGTTTGGTTAGATGTCTGTGTACAGAAAACTCCGTTCCCACTGCCATTCAATCAACCAACCATAAGCTCCTCCATCTGCTAAATCTAGATTCCAGGAGATGAGAGGTTTATTTTCCGGAGAAAATAAACTAGAATAATTTGTGGTTCAACAAGATGAACAGAACACATGCCTTTTTACTCCATTCGTAGAGAAAATAAAGGAAACATATCATATACAAAGACAAGAAAAAAAAGCTCTTGAAATTGAAAGTATATTGTTGACAGTATGGAATATTAAGTTGAAAAAATCTTCAGGAAAATATAATTAAAAGTTACATAAATAAAAAATAGTGGAGAAAAATTTTTCCTGATGCTTGAAAATACCAGAAAGTTACAGAAAAGAGTTATTTTTGTGTTGAAAGAGATGGAAAAATTAAATAAAAGAAACAATGCAAACATTATCCAGAAATAAATACCATGAAATTTAAAGATCAAAACCCCCCTAAAATTCCAGGAGTATAAAATTTTAAATGAGTTAATGCATTAATGAAACATACCAACCTACATCATTCTTCAATAACAGAAACACAAGAACCAGGAGAGGAAGCCAACCATCTTCTAGAAACAGATCAGATGGAGGAGGAGAATAGTAAGAGATTTCTTAAGCGCAATCACGAATCCAGAAGTGTCTATGAATGCCTTCCCATTTCTCAAATGAAATTATTTTGAATTTAGAATTGTATATCCAATCAAATTGTCAGCCTAATGTATTCAAAGACACGTTCAGACATGCAAGGACTCAAAAAGATACACTTTCCGTGTGCCATTTTTAAGAATAGGTCCTCCAAATGAGATGATAAATCAATCAACAGGAAGAGCTGAAAACCCAGACAACTCAGGTGAAACACAGGAGACAGTAAAGGAATTCTCCAGAGCAGTGACTGTGGGGCAGGACCAAAGAGAAGCAGAGGAATGGCTGGCAATAGGAAGTTCTCCAAGAGAAAAAAAAAAAAAAAAAGCAGGGGGCGGGGTGGGAATGACAGGTTATTTGAAATAAGGGTGTATTTAAAAACTGATAAGTGCTTGTACAGTGCAGACTGCCAGTGCTTTTCATGAGCTCCCTACTAGTGTTCATTTCTGAGCCCCATGCAGGTGCACAGGCATGTAACTGAGTTCCAACTGGTGGAACATGCCCGTAAAATGACTTGTGCCAGCATCCATGCTGTCTAAATTCTCATTTGTTTGGTAAACACACACACACACACACACACACACATGAGAAAGAGAGACACAGAGAGAGAAAGACAGAGACAGAGAACGAGTGAGTTAAACAGAGCTCCTTTCTGCTGGTTCACTCCCCAGATGCCAGCATGATGGAGCTGGGCAGGAAGGAGAGCCCATGTGGGTGGCAGGGACCCAACTTCTTGAGCCATCACTGCTGCCACCAAGGGTGCACTTTATTAAGAATGCTGAAATCAGAAGCAGAGCAGAGGTTTGAACCCAGACATTCTGATATGAAATGTGGGCATCTTACTTACCAGGCCAAACACCAGCCCCAACCTGTGTTCTTTCTATTGGTGCTTATTAATATCTAGATGCAAAGACTGCATGAAGAGCTGTGAGGATTTAGGGGCGCTGAGGTTGATTCTGTGACATAGAAACCCCAGCTGCCACACTGGACTGTGACATGAGCAAGAAATGAACTTGCACGGAGTCACGGAGGTTGTAGGGTTTCTTGTTACAGCAGTTGAGCTATTTTGACTGTTCGGGTTTGAACGATCATTTGGAGGCAATTGTGAATAATTTACAGGAGGTACAACATGTGCTAAACAAATTTTAAAAGGAATTCCCAGAAAAACAAAAAGTTGTGAGAGAAATAAAGCATGCCACTTTGTTCAGATGTGGCTATAATCACAATAATGAGAACACTGACAGTTGAAATAACTCTCAAGTGCAGTAAAACTGGACATGGAAGGTGCAGAGAAAGAGAGACTGGCCCTGTAGATGTGTGTAGAAGATGGATAAATCCTCAACAATTATAGCATAATGTCCATAAATAATGTGCGAAATTGATAGAGAAATAGCATGATAAGTAAAACATTTAGAAATGTGCAGGAACAGTAAGAAATGATGAATCAAATGTTTGAGATCTGTGGCTGCTTTAACATTTTTTTTCAAAATATGAGCTGTATTACCTTCATAAAAATAGATTTCATGCTAAAAATAGCTTTAAAATATACATAGGAAACCAAGGGTGCTCGCTTAATAGAGAAAGCCTCATATTATATCAAAGCATTTGTATATATTAATATAGCAATCTATAAATAATGGAGAAAATGAAGTTGGGATGCAGAATGAAGATAGATTTGAGTGGTTAGCACAATGATTCACTCATTCAGCAAAGATTTATTAAGCATCTTCTGCCTGGTACTCTGCAAGGCATGGGGATCCAGTCTAAAGCACAAGGGAAAAATAGATATGCTGTGAGAGACAGGAGCATGTCTAAGCTTTAAACAACAAATGCATTGGGAATTTCCCTCTTGTTCTTGAT